TGATGGTCGACCATGAGAGCAGTGAAACCAAGTAATTCACCCAAATCCAGATTATATCAGATTGATAGAAGAACCCTAACCCTAACCCCACACTAAGAATAGGCAGATTAAAGTCCCCAAGACCAGAAGAGTATCTAGGGAATCAATGAGTTCAGGTAGGGAGATTGCTATGCAGCTGGAAGGTTGATATACTGTGTGCTCTTTTAGGAACAAGAACGGGGGATAAATTGTTGAACAAGTAAGTTTAAACATAGTAGTAGGTTATTGGAAATCTTAGCATATTTACAACTGGAATAATCAGTTGTAACCTCTGCAGTGGTCTAAAATTACCTCCTGAGCAATTTGTTTGGGAAATTGCATCATTTCAATTCTAATATAATTTTTTGCAAGATGCTTTGTGTGTGCATATATGATGCAATAGTGGATAAGACCAATTACATAATCAGTCTGCCAAGCAATATTTTTCAGATGTGCTAGACTTCATATCTTAGAACTGGCCAGTTCTGGAAATCCAAAGCATTTGAAGGGTAATTGTTTGAGGGAGGAACTAGACTGGATTGATGAACTATGTCTCTGGGCACTTCAAAAAGCAAATTTACTAATTGAGCTCTTTACTTTTTACCCTTTCTCCCTACATTATGCTGATTTCTCTCATCTAATCTAACTCTAATGAAGCATAACCAAAGTAGAGAATTTAGCATTCCCAATAAATCTTGCTACACCTTAAACCAAGGGTGTCAAACTCAAGGCCCAGGCGCCGGATCTGGCCCATGGGGTGCTTACATCTGGCCTATGGGGCTGCCCTGGAAACAGCAAAGGATCCGCCCATAGTGCCTCTGCCAGAGAAAATGGAGCTTGGGAGGGCTGCGTGTGGCCCCTAGTGAGCTCCATTTTAGCTGGCAGAGGTTGCAGGAAGCCGTTGCAGCCAAAAATGGAGCTTGGGAGCCAGCTTTTGCTGGCAGAACGTTTGAGCCACCACAGGTGCCTCTGACACGAGTGATGTCGAACTGGCCACACCCACCCCGCCCCCCTGAGGTAAAACACAACCCTGATGTAGCCCTCAATGAAATAGATTTTGACACCCCTGCCTTAAATAATGTCTTTTTCTTTCAGATATGGTGCTTCAGTTAATGTTAGTCAATATTAAACCAGTGTTCCAGAACAATAGATATTCTAATACAATTGTATAAATATATAAAAATATTTCTAAGGAAAGCAGTTACATGATTGCAGGATTCATAATGCCTAAATCAGGGATAGTTAGCTTTATGCCGCTAGTTATTTTGCAGCTCTCATAGTCCCTTGTTTTAATCACTTTAGCAGGCTTAATTGCAAATTCAAGTCTACCTGGAGGCATCAGATTGCTGATCTTTGAACTAAACTAATTGCATGTTTACAGAAGTGCTTTATGAAAAATAAATGGTCCACAGTGAAATAATCACCAATTTCTTTTATTGTTTAACTATTGAAGCAACCATTGAAAATGTTCTTTGAGCTTGGTAGAAGCTCAGTACTGTAACTTAATTATAACTTGGTACAAGACAGTACTGTAAGTTAATAGTTGTATTTATGAGCTTACTATAGTTTTTTCAACGTGACTGCTTCTGCATGTGGAAGAGTTGCAATTCTAAATATACTACGGGCTAGAAATTCTTGGGAGTCGTAGCTCTCACACATCGGATAGGCATTAGTTTGAGAGTGGTTGAGAATTATAGGAGAACTAGAATACAAGTTTTAAATTTTCTTACATATAATCAAAATGCAGGATTTTTTAGAGTTCCCTTCCAGTATTACTGATGTGAAGGCCCCATTGTCATGTGAAGGCCCGTTTCTGCTCTAACATTAGGCCACCTTTACAAAGAACTGCATTTCTACTAATGTCAGAGCAGCAACACAGCATCTATGACATACAGTTGTTTGTAAAGATGGCCTAATATCAGAGCAGCTGCTTATATCTAGAAATTTCATAGGATCATGGTAGCTAGCTTTGGTGATATTTGATCATGTGGACTCTCTCCAGGAAAGAAGCCCCATGTCATAAAATAAAGTTCTTTTATAAATTATTGCATCCAGTAAGTAGAAGTAGGATGTTTTAGGCCTGGAATTCGAAAGTATAATCCCTTGCCTGTTTTAGCATAGTTAAGGACTGGTGCAGAAATAATATTTTCCCAGGGATTTGGTTCCTTTGATTCTGATATCAATCATTCCTGGCCTTGTGAGTAAAAGTGAAAAGCTTTTTATTGACTTGGAAAAAATAGAATGCCTTACATGTGACGTAAATGTTGACTTGCTACTGCTTATCTGACCCACCTTGTCCAGAAATGCTGATTTCTCTTTCAGTCCATTTGTCTACTCTCCCCTCCATCCCACCCCAATGCCCTCAGATACCGAGATTGGCTGGAACCACAGCATATTAAATTATGCTTGCATGTGTATTGATTGAAGCACCATTCTAACTTTTAAACTGCATGCCTCTGTCTATGTTTTTGTTTTATATACATAATGATAAATGGATCTGCTCTGTTGATTCTAAACTTGAGCTGCAACTCTGTGCACATATAGTTTGGAAATGTGAAATGAGAGCTGGACTTTTAAAACACGGTGCTTAAGAACTGGGTGAGTTAATTCTCTCTCATATGGCCCTAACCAGGAACTGTCCTAATGCATTGGAGTGTATCATGATTCTCAGCTAACAGAGTCAGGGATTTATCAACTGGGAAACTTTGGAGTTATAATCCAAAATATATCGAAATTGCCTAGTTTTAAAAGTCTGAGGTACATTGATGTAGGTACAGGTAGTCTTTGACTTATGAGCAGTCGCTTAGTGACTGTTCAAAGTTAAGATCTACCTGAAAAAGGGGACTTAAAATTCAAATCCAAAGTTCTGACAGTCACTCCCTTCCCTCCCAGCTACATGACTGCACTTTGAGTATTTTGCAACACAGCCATAGTTATGGCTGTTTGTAGCATTCTCTAGTCACACGACTGTTTTACAATGGTTTTGTTGAAAATCCAGTACTTCTGTTTTTTGGGGGAAAACCATGCCCATTCCGATCAATGTGTTCACTTAACAAATACTGCAAAAAACTAAAATCAGGACAATCAGATGATGATCGATTTTATGATTGTTACAATTTACGACCCTAATGGGCAGGCTGCATTATGGTTGTAAATCAAGGACTACCTGTACACAATGTTATCAGTATAAATTGGATTGGGGTAGATCACAAGTGGAAAACTGCAGCCTAAATACCTAAGTCTTTGTCAGATCTGGAAGCTATCTTTCTACTTTGTGCCTTCAGGCTTCAGGCCTGCCACAAATCCTATTGTGGGAAATTGGGAGGGGGGATTGCGTAGAGGGAAGAAAATATGTAGTCACAATAAAATTCTTTATAGAAAGTCAAGGCATTGAGAAAAATGAGGAGGTATCTTCTGTTCTGGACAGTACCTGATTGGATGTGTGGTGGACATGGAGAGGGGCAAGGTCTTGAACTTTCTTTTGGGTGTGGAAAACTCGGAAGCTGTCAGATTCAGGTTTTCCCAGATGGCCCAATATGACATCTCTAATAAAAGTTAGCTTTGAGGAACTTCAAGCCTCGGAGTTTGATTTCATTGGGGGTGTTACTTGGAACCTTGACATTAACCTGAATCTGACAGGCTCTGGGTTTTCCACACCCAAAGGAAAGTTCAAGAACTTGCCTCTCTCCCACATGTCCATCACACATCCAATCAGGTACTGTCCGGAACAGAAGATACCTGCTCATTCTTCTCACCACAGATGCAGGGCACAATGGCCTTGACTTTCTATAAAGAATTTTATTGTGACTACATATTTTCTTCCCTCTATGCAATCCCCTCTCCCAATTTCCCACAGTAGGATTTGTGGCAGGCCTGAAGCCTGAAGGCACAAAGGTAGAAAGATGGCTTCTAGGTCTGACAGTCTTCTCTTTGCAGCTTTTGAGACCCCTTGACCATGGCTGATGCAAGTCAAGTGCATTGTTTCCTGTCCTTTTGAAATGAGAAACAAAATATTGCTGTGGAAGTCCTAAAACGAAACAAAAACCTAAAAGTTTATATGCCATATGCATAATATGGCTGCACCTTTTTTGGATCTGTTAATACTCTCTCAAATGTTGAATGAGACACTCCGCCACTAAAAGGTTGCCCCTCTCTAATGTCAATTATCTCTTCAATATTTTAATTTGTATTTTCTCAAGCAACTCCAAAACATCTAAAAGCAATCATTTTATTGCATGGAATAATAACTTTTACTAGGGTTTCAAAACAAGTTTCCCCAATCTGGTGTCTCCTAGTGGAAACAGTGGCCATAATCACAGTGGCCACAATCATGAGACACTGATCGCAATCATGGCCAATGTGGGAACTCCAGTATCAGATTGCCAAAGGCTGCTTAGAAGATAGACCAATAGTTCATATATATATATATGAGTATATATATGGCTTCAGAAAATCCATACTGATTGTTCCATAAGGTAGACGAGTATTATTTTCTTTATCTGAGTGGAAGAATACTTTCTTGAAGCCATCCGATGTGAGTCAAAGTGTGAGGCAAAATTATTTATAGTTGCACTTCTTAACAATAATATAAACTAACATTGGCTTGTTTTGCTTTCATTTCTGTAAATGATGACAGCATAATAATTTCTCCTTATCATTTGATGGCAAAAATGGTAAGAAATTACATGTTGCTTCATGTTGCTTCATGTTGCTTCATGGCTGAGAAAGGGCAGGGTCCTCTCTTCCAGAGTTTGGACTAATATGAACTAAATGTCCTCAAGAAATGTGGACATTTCTTGTCCTCAAGAAATGTGGACAGAGATAGAGCTTGGAAACTGCTTCCCTAAATGATGGCTTAGATGCCATTAGTTCTCCTTGTAGAAAGAAATGATTTATCTGAGATTCTTAGCAAAGCTTTCAGTCGGTTGCAATTTCTGTTGTCCCATGACATTTTGTGTCTCTTTTCTGTCTCTGTCCTCCAGGACTCTTTCCCCTGCAAAATCCCCATCATCATCTACTGGCTCCATTGCTTCCAGCAGAAAGTATCCATATCCCATGCCTCCATTGCCTGATGAGGAGAAGAAGGCCCACAGAGCTAGTGCCAGGGTATGCTTGACTTCTTATTTGGTTTTAGTGGAAGGGCTATCTGTTTGGGCACGGGTAAGAGGTCTTTGCTCTGTGATTGGGCTGAAATCGAAACCTGGATCAGCTGAGTATTTTAAAAATAGACAAGCAGGAATGGGCAAGCAAAGGCCCACAGTCACTGCGCTCCTATAGAGAAAATTAGAACATCAGACACTAAATTATTCCTACTAGAAATAAGATTACCCTGTTTCTGTTGATGCAGAGAGCAGGATCAAAAAGAGAAGATGGCTCTGACCACTACATTTCATTGCGTTCCCCACCATTGGCAACATACTTTTACAGGCACATTTGGGGGGTATTGTCAAACAAGAAAGCAAAACTAAATCCCATTTCTGAAGAAACTGTTTCTGGTGATGCATTTCCATCTGTCTGGGAAGTGGCAAGGGTTGCAGTTCCACTGAACCGAAAGCTATCAAACTGGTGCAGGTTTTCCTATTGCATAAGCAACAAATACTGTCCTACAAGTAGGTATTATTTTTTCTTTTTTTTTTTTTACAGCTATGGGAGACATCCATTTAAGTATTTAGCTTTCACCTGAGCTGTCACCAGAACTATTTACTTCAAATTTTATATAAATTCAGCATCACTGAATCACTGAACATTCATCTGCTCAGCAGACAACTGGATGGAGCAAAGATACAGATACTCAACAGGATAAGCGAGTTCTCCCGTTGAAGGAAGACACTGATTTTCTACAGCTGATTCAAGTTTTGTGAATTACAAATAAAGATATTAACCTGATATAGACAGAACTGAACATGCTAAGATACTGTGCATGATGTCAGATATTATATAGACATTCAGATACTGCTTTTGAAATCCCAATGGTGTTTTTTCCTGGTCTAACATGTCCCCAGATATCTAAAAGAGAGTGATTCAGAATTTGGTACATAATCATTTATGCTGTGTGCATGAACCTCTGTTTGCCACTATCCATGTGTAAGGGGTTACTCATTTTACTGTAGTAGAGTTAGCATGCAGGAATAAGATGTTTTTTCCCCACAGCTGGGTTCTAAAAAGACAAAATATTTGACAACAACTTCAACAAGAAAACAGTGATTTTTTTAACCTGTTACAATTACATTCTCAGTAAAAAAGCTATTTGTAGACAGTTGTGAAATATGAGCACTGTAGTTAGGTTTTTGCCTGAAAAGCGTGCTACAAAACTTAGGAGTCAAGTTAGATATTTCATGGCAGGTTCATGAATATAGCTTAGCTGCATGCAAAGGTCTCAGGTTCAATTTTATCTGCCAATAGAAACAAAATAATTCATTGAAAAACCAGGAAAGTACTAATAGCCTCTGTTTGATAATAGTGAGATAGATGGACCAATAGCCTAGTTGGATATAAGGTATGTATGATATCTGGCATTAAAGAAACAGCACTGCAGGAGGAAAAGTTGGCAATTATAGTGCTTTGTTTTTCATTTTTTTTCTCAAAACTGATTTTCTATCAAAATTACCCAGCCCTTCTATCTAATTCATCAAAGTGCCATTTAGAATTAAACTTTGCCTCGTGTTCTAAGAAGAACTGGAACAAAGGGTCTAGAATGTGTCTAAAATTTTGAGAACACAGATTGTTTTCCTCTTCCCATTAAAATCAATTGAATAAATCTGGAACCACATGGAACCCATTTTTACCTATTTGGAACATCAGCCATTAATGTGAAGTTGGTCAAAACATTGTATCTGCTGTACATATTAAATACCTACTTTTTGAAATCTACTCGTCTTAACCACCCAGTTCAATTTCACTTTTTAACTAAGTAATCATATAATAACTGTGTAAGCTTGTACATGTTTTGGCCAAATAAGAAATGTTCAAATGCTTGACTGGATGACCAGAGATAATTCATCTCTGTGCAGTTGTATAATGATGTGCTTTTCTGCTGGAATGACTGGAGGATTCTCATAATTTCTATTTGGATAGGATAAGGGAGAATAATGGACAACAGGAGTCATCAGAAAGCAGCATTTTTGTGAAGCTTCTAGGAAATAAGCATTGTGGGAGGTTGTCAGTTTTTCATAGAAGAGTTATGCCTGTAAGGAGTTTCAGATGATATGAGGCATACAATATAAAAAGAGAAAAATAGTCAAACATGTATACAGAAAAAGATTGAATATCCCAAGGATTTCAATGCCCTCTTGCTAATTTCATATCCAAATTATGATGAGTTAAAATAATTACCATTGTCCATATGTCTTTGGTATAGAGTTCTTTTCACCAGCTGCTCATAAGCAAGATTTAGATACGAAACTTTGGGATAGTAGAATTCATAATATATGTATGTCGGATCTGAGCATTATTTAGCACTGTGTGTTCTGCTTTAATATTCTATTATGGAGGAGATTTGGAAAAAATAATTGCCTTATCATGCCATAACGGAAGGACAATATTGGCAATATTGCATGGATAGGATCTAAGGGGTCTGCCTACTGGTTCTTGCAAAATCTTAACATTAAAAGCATTCTTAGGCATATAGTATCATTTAATATTTGACAGTATTTGGATAGGAATGTCATTTGTTTTTCTGAATCTTCTACCTCTTTCGCATAATTCCTTCTGTATGTGAAGTGCCATATATGGCCTTCTGTTGTGTAACTGGACTTACTGTAGGAAATTACACTTTTTTGAGAATGTCAATTCTACAAGGAGAAAAGGTTCTATTCTAAAGTTTTCAACTGTAAATTATGTAAAACTTTAAAGGTATTATATTTATACGACTTTGCCAGTTATATTTATACAAAACTGGCTTTGCAGTCATAGCAGTCTCTAGAAAGTGGCATAAGGTTTTGGTAAGTATTTTGATTTGTACTAAATAGGAACAAAAATGCATAATGGAAATTCATCCATAAGAGAATGTTTAAAAGATTATAAAAGAATATATATAAATGTTTCATTTTGCAAATATATAGCGTGAGGCAGGGACGTGAAGGATGACTGCTGAAGTAAGGCCTGATGAAGTTTAATTACCATTATAAGTCTTTTTCTTTCATTTCATTGACTTTGAATCAATGCTCTGCGCTGCCCTTCCAGTCAAAGTCAAAAGGCTCTCCTCACAAGTTAAAGGAAACCTATAGTAGAGCTAATCTTCCCCATCACTTTTGATTCTTGCTAATTTTTAGAAGCTTAACATGTGCCTTTTTGGATCTTTGGCTTGATGTAAGTCCATGTGTTGTTAGAAAATGACATTGTTGCTGTCTTCCATTTAAATTACTAAGACAAAGGAAGTGGGTTTTTTCCTTCCCTTTTCCTTTTCGGACAGAACTGAATGTAATGTGAGAATTGAGGTGATTGTAGGTTGTTCACTGAGAAAATAATCATCCTCTGTAGTTAATTTGTAGACATTGTCATTGACCATTATTTGATAATGGCTAACATTTGTTAATACCCTGACAGTTAATAATTTTAATGTAAAATGAAATATAATTTTAATAAACTGGCGTTTATTTCTATGGTCTAGTGCAGAATTTCTCTGCTTATAAGCTTGAATTGTCTTGGTATGTAAAAAAAGTGATGGATGCCAATCAGCAAAAGTGTGAATAAATCCAAGACAATGAAAGTTGGCAAATAGATTTTGAATTCCAAGCTACTGTCCAGATAAAATGCTAGAAGGGATGTTTCTTCCAATTACTTCTGTTGCTAGTGTATTTCAAGTTTTGTGTTTATGATAAGAGCATAGCTATTTTCAAAATTTTCACTTGTCTTTCAGTTGAAATAAAAGGGCAATAATGGTTGGCTCCTCAAAATGGGTTGTATCCAAGGTGTAATGCCAATAAAAAAAAAAGGATGGTAGTTGATCTGCTAATGATGGCATGATGTACCACAAGTGCACCTGAAATAACTGCCACAAACATCATTTAACAACAAAATTATAACAAATGCTGGATTTTATACAAGCAGCAGAGGCTTTGTGCTCTCATATCACTGGATACAACCCACTGTTCTTTCTTCGTAAAGAAAATTCTTGGTCATGAAAATTTAATGCCTTTTCCTTTCACCTTTTTTATAGTTAATATCTTAGTATAATGTGGTTGACATAAGTATTTCAGCACTCTTCAGCTTTGTTTCTCTGTATAAGCAAAGAAATATGTAGATAAAAGAAAATAAGAACATTGTCTCAATAATAGCTTCCAAACTATAGTTGTGTATTTGCAGTACTATCGCAAAGTAACAATACAGAATGGTTTTAATCAAAGGAAAAGCAACAGAATAGATTATCTGGGAATAAATATGAATTATGGAGGTATCCTGATATATCTGTTTTAAAGGATATTTTGGCACAATTTACTTGAACAATCAAAGCGATCAAAGAAGTAATTTCAACTTCCATAATTTCTAGTCAGTATAAGCATAGCAATGCTGAAGTTAGCATAATTTCTAAGGGTCAATTGAAACTAATGCATAGCAATGCTGAAGTTAGCATAATTTCTAAGGGTCAATTGAAATTAATACTAAAAAATGACCATTAATATCTGGGAAATCAGTGCATTACAACTAGACCTCAAAATAAATCAGTCTCAATTAAAAAAAATGCAGAGTATAGAAAAACTTCCAGAGCTTTATATTTGGATTTCTGTCCTCATAACTTTGCTTAAAAACAAAAACAAGATCACTTTTCCATTTTATCTGAAATATTGTCTTTGTTGCAAAGTGAATTTTGGATATGTGTTTATATTAGCTACTAATTATTTTTGCGCTACTTAGAAGGCATCAGCAATTCCACATGATGTGTAAACCTGGTTTAAAATGACTTTTTAAATCTGATAGTATTTACAGCGATTCAGTAATTTTTTGGAGTCCCTCACCAGGTTTGCTAAGCATATCAATCTTAACCTTATAAAACAATTGTTCTAATCTTCAGTTCTAATGAAACATAGCTTTTGTAAAACTTAATTTGAAATCCAAAAAGAAATCTAACACAGCTATTTGAAAGTAAAAAAAAAGAAGAGAAATAAATTAATATGGACTAGAAGACCTCCAAGGTACCTTCCAGCCCTTTGATTCTAATAATGTAAGTGGGAAGCATTACAAAATCAAGGTGAACAGGCTAGTGTGGGACAATTTTCCCTACATCATTTTGACAATCAGGCAAGATGAAGATGGCACAGTGGGAATTTAATGAATAGATTTGTAAATTGTATTTAAATTACAAGTATGAAAATCAAAATAAAATATCCCTCTGGTCTTTATAAATTAGAAAAATGGCCATAGAAGTATTTTTTTAAAGCCTTAGAGGCCTTATGACCTTACATATTCAAATTTTTGAAGATATATTTTTTACAAACTATTTAGAAACACTTGTAAATATGCTTTACTGCCCTTTGGATGCTTAGTGGTGCTAAGTAATAACTGTAAAATATCACAGTTGTAATTCTGCAAATCCTAAGGTATCACATATCTTACTATGATACAATAATGCTGACTTGCCTAAATATTGAGAATATATATGTGCTAGGGCATATGGTCTGGTGCTTATTAAACTATAAATCTTTAAGCAAAAATGTACCACTGAGTTATCTGGATACTGGTCACTATTCTAACATTCTATGCTGGCAATTTATTTTAATTTTTAACTATTAATTGTTGTGGGTTTTTTCAATATAATTACTACCATATTGTAAATCTGTCACTAAAGCATTGTCAACATAAGTACTTCAACATAGTTGGTGAAAAATATAGAAACTGGATTCTTGATGTAGTGTTTTTGTGTTGGTTATATTGTTCAAATAATTAAAATTATCCCATGTGTAAAAAGCTGTATTTACCACTGGATATTGTTTCTATAATAGCAACTAATCATGTGTTTCTTGAAACATTAAATTTTGTCAATTCCAATGCAAAACTCTCCCTTTCTATCACTGCAGTGCTGAATAATTATTTTGTTGTTGTATCAAATTCATAAAGCCAGCTTTCCTGTAATGGGACAAAATAATCTTTTTAATAAAGTTATAACCTGGGGATATGAAACCTTGCATATTTGAATCACCGTAGAGTTGCTTACTATGAAAATATTTAATACAAAATAATTAAATTGTTAGTAATGTATCATTATGTCAATAAAAGAGTGAGCTTCAAATCATGGCAACTGTACTTTAAAATGTTTAATAATTATGGTGTTGATCAAAGACTTGTTGGCTGATAAAATCTTGTCAATTCTCTAGTATCCAGAGTGGATTCATCGTTACTAAAACAGAATCACAATAGAGCTCTTTTAAAACAAAATTAAAAATCCAGGTATGCTTTGCAAGATACAAGTGAGAGCTGGAAGAAGACTATTACTGAAATTATGAATAGGTCTACTTAGATAATTTTCAGAAATAAGTAAATATGTATTGTAAATTATACTGTAAATCTGAAAAAAGGTGTGCTAATTGGCCTGGAAGAATTAAACCATAAACACACATTTTAGCACAGCATTTTAATTTACAACATATAGAAAAGGAATATGTTCAAGGTTGCACCGTTTAACTTACCTTATAATTTCCAAATAATAAAGCTAAGAATTTAGATGAGTGATCATCTGTAGGCTAGTGATTATTTAAAGGTAATGGCAAATCCCTTCTGTATAGTTCCTAAAAAAGGACATAGAAGTATACTCTCTTGGTGCAGAAGAACATAGCGGATGACATTGTAAAAGCATTCTGGCACAACCTAAAGGTAAACTCAAGTTTGCTTTTTGGCTAGTGGATGTTCTATGACTTGCTATGCCTTCTATGGCGGTGTTATTGCAAATCTATCAACCGACCTCAAAAGATTAAGAATTCCTATTAAAAACTATGGCTAATTACTATTGCTGCCATTGCTACTAATACAGATGCATAATGCTGTTTGTGTTTTTCCAGTTCAAATGCTAATACTCAACACCTCATTGAAACCACTCCAAGTAACATTTAAATTGCTGTAAATATACGACTACTAATGAAACTATATCCAGAATGTTACAGTAAGGTACATGCAACTCTGACCAATTAATTCTTGTTTTATTTCATATATAAGTCTTGAAAGCATGTATCACTCCTATTAACATACAGCCTGGAAACAAAGAAGCTAGGCATAGCCCAGGATTGTCAAACTGGATTTCATTGAGGTCCATGTCAGAGTTGTGTTTGACCTCGGGGTGGGCATGGCCAGCTCAACATCACTCATGTCAGTGCTTGTGACCCGAGCATTCTGCCAGCCTAGCCCTCCTGAGCTCCATTTTTGCTGGCAGAGGCACTGCTGGCTGGTTTGCAAGGCAGCCCCACAGGCCAGATCTAAGTACCCCAGGGACCAGATCCAGCCCACCGGCCTTGAGTTTGACACCCCTGGCATAGCCTATGGCCAGCTCCACAAATAAGGAAATAGGCAACGCTTTCACTGTATGAACTATGTGGGGGTTCTTAACAAATCAGAAATTCCACAGCTTGTCAAAAATTTCCCTGAAAATGCACTCCATTTAAATGTAGATATTCAAATTCATATGGTTGTCTTTTTCCAATTGTAGATGAGAAACATCTAGAATTCTGGCAAATTAGAAATACTCAGGGTGGGCCTAGATGAGTACAGGTAGTCCTTGAGTTACGACCACAATGGAGTTCAAAATTTATATTGCTAAGTGAAACATTTGTTAAATGAGTTTTGTCCATTTTATGAATTTTCTTGTCAGTTTTTAAATGAATCATTGCATTTGTTAAGTTAATAACATGGTTGGCAAGTGAATCTGGGTTGCCCTTTGTCTTTGCTTGTCAGGTCACATAAACCGATCACATGACCCCAATCACATGCAATTGTCATAAATATGACCCAGTTGTCAAGCATCTGAATTTTGTTCATATGACGATTGGGGATGCTGCAATGGTCATACGTTTGAAAAACATGACCGTTGTAACTTTGTGTGCCATTGTAACTTTGTAGGGACTTTATGTGCCATTGTAACTTTGAATGGTCACTAAATGAACTGCTGTAAGTTGAGGACTACCTGTACAAATTGTAATTTCAATGTGGTCCTTTGTAAGAAATTTAAACCTGTCAATCTCTTCTTATTAGGAAAAATGGAAGGGAATATTTAAAAAAAATATTCTACTCTAATAATCTTCTACAATTACTCTAGTGTGTGTGTTCATTATAAAAGAAGAATGTTTTTATAATCAATAGGCTGTAACATTTTAGTCCATATTATCCTGATGGTACCATTCAATGCATACATAACCAAATATGTCAAGCGAAAGCATTTGTTAAAGCAGCTGTTTATTTAAAACACAGAATGTGTTTTTCAAGAGACACAACATGAAAGTTGTGTTTATTTCGAGGATGGGAAAAAATCTTTCTAGAGAAAAAATAATGTAGCCAAAATTCTTGTCAATTGCCACTGAAATTCATGATTTGTGCACCAACTTTAATACACCTTGATGGGGGAATGTGTGTTTGAAAACAATGAAATGTAAGCAATTATTCTATCCCTGATCCCCAAAAACTCCCTTGCATGCAGATAATGTGATATAGCAGTAGCAGAGTCACAGTAGTGAGGTGGAAAACCATATAAATGGTTAAAATAAAAAACTAAACTAAAATGGCAAATGGAACTAAATCAGCTCCCAATTGAGCAGGTTCTATGAAATAAACACCAAAATATTAAGACAGCCAACTGAACACTTAGACAAATATTTTGCTTACTACTTAAAAAGTGACAAACTTTTAGTTTATTCTGAGTTTTAAAAAAAACTTCCTAGAAATAAACCTCTATCACATTTTACAAATTCATTTCAATACATTCCTATTTTAACTTCCTAGATAGTACTGTTAACAAGGCATATTCCAATGTGATCACCTTTAAATGATACTGAAAAATTAAATGTAAACATGAATAATTTGATTCCTTTTCTCCTCATGCAAATTATAAATATATAATGCAGATCCACTCAAACAACATTTATTGTATTTCCTTCTTCCATTAGTTATAAAAACTATAAAACCATATTGATTAATATTTATAAAATATGCAAATATCACAATTTAGTTACACAGCATATAGGTTTGGCGCAAAGCAAAGTGATGTGGAATGTAGATCCATGCTTATCTGTCTGTCTTCACTCACTCATGAGTTAGATGCTCATGACACACTGAATAAACTGCCAAAAGAAGAAATTGTGTATCAGGTATAGTTTGTCATCACAATCTTTTTTATACAATTATCCATTGCAAGATTGCTGTCGTACAGAGATAGAGGGACCCTGTGAACCTTCAGCAGTAGGGACTCATTATTCCTAAAACTGCGTAATGCCTGATGAGAATTGAAAATTAGTATTTAAATTAAACTCCAACAGTAGATCATTACAATTACATGAACAACCTCTCACTCATTTTTAATATTGTAAATCATTTTAAACCAACTGGGGAGTATTATGGCTACCACTTAATGATATGGTCAATGCAGTGGCACTTTCAAATACCATCTTGATTTGAAGAACCGTAGGATCATTATCTAATGGTTGTCAATTCTTGCCAAGAAAAACTGAAGTTCTTTAAGATACTGATCTATACTGCCTGACAGCTTATACATCTTTTAATCACTTTGCTAACTACTGGAAATATACCTCGCATTTTGGGGGAGTGAGGGAGCAAGTTAGGACTTCAGTAAAAACTAAGGCTCACAGACTAGCATCCAGCATGAATCTAGTGCAATCCGGCATGTGGCATGGGACAGTCTATTAGAAAATGCCTGACACTAAATCTGAATAGCACATGTAGCCTGATGATACATGCTTTGTATACAAAAAACATTACCTTCAATTGATAAGTGTTCACAAGTAAGGCTGGAAAGGAGTCTGCCAAAATCCAATATTCAAAAGCTACCAGTATACTGAACTGTTGCCACTACTGGGTCTTATTTTCTTTTGGGCCCCAAAATAAGCAGTAGGGCCGTGATGGCGAACCTATGGCATGCGTGCTAGAGGTGCAGCGCTCTTTCTGTGGGCACGCAAGCTGTCGCCCAGTTCAGCTCCACCACACATGCTGGGCGCCATGCACACATTGCATTTTGGGGGTTTGGGCATGTATGTCTGCATTTTGCGTGTGTGTGTGAACTTTAGACATTCAGTCCGGAAAAGGTTAGCCATCACTGCACTAGGCTTATTTGCTGGGGTATCTTATTTTTTCCCCATGTACAGGAGGCCCACATCTGCTTGCTTGCCAGTGCTGCCAGGGCGAGGCAGGGGTGGTAGAGCTGCTACCTCAGGGATTACCTCAGGGCCCCGGCAGCCAGGCCACCCATGCCCCGACACCTGCCTTGCTTCGTGGCCACGGCCATAATACACAGCCTCCTGCTCTATTGCAGCTGCAAACAAGCAGAAGAAGGGACCGGTGGCCACATGGGCTCCTGCTGCACATGGTTGCTACTGCTGCTGCCACAAGGCATGTGTTGGGCAGGGATGGCCTGGCTACTGGTGCCCTGAGGTAAGTAAGTCAGTGAGAGGCACGTGGAGCCATTTCACCACCCCCGTTGGGTGGTGTACTGTGAGCAACCAGACAGAATGGGTGGCTAGCCAGGTGTGCAGGCTCTTAAGTAGGGCTTATTTTGGGGGTAGGGCTTATATTAGGCGCAAATGTAAAAAAAATCACACTAGGGCTTATTTTTGGGATAAGTCTCATTTTTGGGGAAACAGGGTAGCTATAAACTACCCTTACTTCCATTCTGTCCCTCCAATTATATTAACCTCCACTCCTAGAATTCTCACCAATTGCCATCAGAAATCTGGGAACTAAAATACACACATATGGAAGATGTACCAATTTTGGGAAAAGTTGGTGTAGGATAGACTGGGCATTTTAGGGCCATAGGTCACCTCTGTCCCTTTGTTCTAATCCAGCCAGGGGTGGCAGCGAGGTGGGTGGGTGTCAGCAGCAGGAAGGACAGTCTTCCAAAACAGTTCCAGTTTCTCATGTGGCCCCCTTGGGAAAATTTATTGCCCACTTCTGATGTAGGCAATAAGGTGTTAGGCTGATCATGTTAAGATATGGCTTTCACTGTTGCTATATAAAAGACTTATGATCCTCAAGGCCAACCATTATCTGGGAATAGCTTCTAATGAAGGCAGGGGCACAGC